ATGTATGTATGTATGTATGATGCATGTACAAATATATATATATATATATGTCAGTCAGGCACGCATACATATAGATTAATATCGTTATATACATATGCATATACATATACAGCTATGCACAATCATGCGCACACATACATACATGCATGCATGCAAACAGAGACAGATTCAGACACAGGGACAGAGAAAGACAGACACGCGCACACACACACATATATATATATATAATAGTCGTCGTATAGATCCTCGGTTCAGAGAGCTTGGTCAAGTTGGGCAAAGGAGCTGTGTTCCTTCAGGTCACACTTGCTGGGCGTCCCGGCAAAGGTGGCTTGGCGGTTGCAGTTCGGGCTTCGAAGTTTGCTCCGCTCGTAGCCAGGGGACGAGGTGAAGTTGGTATCGGTTCGGCTTAGGGTTTCGGGTAAAGGGCTTGCGAGATTTGCGATCATGCTGGGGCTGAACTCGGTATGAGACCCAGTGAATCTACGAAAGGGAGCGATGTGCATTGTGGTCTCGCCTCGCCGTCCAGCCACCTGTTGCTCAAGCCTGTAGGTGTGATTCCCTCGCACCCGCGCGTGCCATGGCTGGAAAGCGGCATGCAGTCCTGCTCACAGTTGTTTCTTCTGCAATTGTGATGGCACGACCCTTCGACTCCCGAATCTGGGTGCACCCCTTCATTCCTGCCCCAGAGACACCCAAGCGGGTAGCCGTTCGAGGAGCCCGGGTCTGCTCGAGGGACAAGGGCCTGCCAGCAGCCTTCTTTCAGAACCTTCAGGTTCCAAAGGCAGGTTCTGAGAAGATGCTGCCTTATTTCCATGTTTCTGCCTGCACCTCCCCCTTTCATGGCAGCTGGATCGGCAGACTTCCCCGCAGATCCCTTTTCGGAGGCTGGGGTGGCCTTCGCGGCAGCGACGGGAGTGCCCTACCAGGGATCGTCAAGTTAACCCTCGACGATGATCCCCTTCAGGATTCCCACCGAGCCGGCCATTTCGCAGCAGAAGGGCTCCGCCAATCAGAAGGAGACCAAAGACCACACAGCCAAGGAAGGTCCGACACCATGGGGCAGGGAGCAGCCAGCTATGCCCCCGGCAGAGCCCAAGCCATGCACCGAGCGTGCTTCGAATTCAGAATGGTCAATGTCCAAATCATGTCTTTCGACTGCAGTTTGACTGTCAGGAAAGGGCCGGAAGATGAAGTGCATTCGTCCATGTCCAAACATCCTGCTGGTCCTGCGGAGCGCGCAAGCCCCCAGAAATCCACTGCGAGTGGCCTGCAAAGTACGGTGCAATCGTCCAAAGATCCTGGTTGTGTAGAGGATCACGCAAGCCACCAGACAGCAAGCATTTGGGCTTTTTGCCTTTGTTCGTCAGTTTGCGGCGGCATTGCTGCATGGTGTGTGCAGCGCATGTTCCAACGATACCAAGTCGATCTGGCTCAGTTTAGACAGATCGATGTCTTCCTCATTGGTACCGGTCTTGCCTTTGCTGCTTTCGGATGGCTGGATGACCGTTGCACATCTCCAGACTATCTTCTGCATGTGATCCAGCAGGGCATGGCCGCAGGAGCCGGAGGCTTTTATTTCATGGCCAATCAGCTTCGACAGCGGCCACGACAGGCGTAATGCAACAGGTGAGGCAGTAGAGACGCAAAGACATGCAGCGGCATCGTGTGGTGGCTTCTGAAAGCTTAAGGTACAGACGACCCTAGTTGAACTGAACTTCGTGTAGTCTAGCAGATGGGGTGTCCAGATGAGGGGCACATGTCTACAACATTTCGGAAGCCCCCCTCTTTTCATTATAAGCATGCATTCATCATGCATGTAGGTGAGCGTGACCGTCCGAGTATCACAGGAGGCTGAAAAAAATAAGCGCAGTTCGGGCGAAGTGCCTACACATGGGCATTGCAATTTCACAGTCCCATGGGCAAGATCGCATTAGAGATGGTGCTTGCATTACAGAGCGGCCTCGACCTGGAATTCCAAGACGTTGAGTCTTCCATGCTTGCTGCTTGGTGCGTCTACTTGCATGCTTCCACGAAGCTTGGTGCGCACGTATGTGCATGTTTGTACCGAGACTAATGCATGAAGAGAAGAAGCATGCATTAAATCAATGACACATACAAAGAAACCCATCGTGGCACTTACACACATACAGACACCGAGCTGAGCAGCATATCTGATTCCCTATAAATACAAAATCAAGATACTCTACAGTCGTCCCACTCCCTGCCCTTCCCCTAGGCCTGAAACCCTAAGCCCTTGAACTCCCTGCCCTTCATTTCAAGAAGAGTCCAACCTGTCAGCATTGAAGGGCAGGGTACGTAGGCAGCGTTGAAGGCGGCATAGTTGATTTTCTTGGGTTTTTCGAACTTGTTGGGGCGTGTAGAAGCTGCAAGCGGTTTAGGGTGTTTGGATTTAGGGGTTTGGGGGTTTAGGGCAGTTTAGGGTCTATTAGGGATTTAAGGTTTTAGGGTTTAGGGTTTAGGGTTTTAGGGTTTAGGGCTGCGGGTTTACAGGGTTTAGGGTGTTTGGGTTTAGGCGGAAGCTGAGGTGGTTCCACCACGAAGCTGACGACCATCGACGAGCTCGAGCGCATGGCGCCATGGTAAAGCATTTAGGAAGTCAGCGTTGAACTCGCATTGGACTGGCTTGCTCTCTTGGCGTCCAGCGATGCCGTGCCGTCGTTCCAAAATGTTCTCAAGCCTCGGCGCGGGTGCTTAGATGTACCTTGAAAGATGAGATAAGATGCATTTCAACTATGTACTTACGATAGTCCTTGAGTTATTGCTTCTTCTCTTGTGTGCATCCTCGCTCGTCTGGACACGAAAGCTTCCGTACTACCCGGCTACTACCCCGAATGCCTCCTCCTGAATCCAAATAGCACCCTCATCCCTGCACCTCGAACCCCAAACCTGAAACTAGTTCATAGCCACAGAGGTGCCGGTATCCTTCGTGCCGAACGTGGTTCCAGAGCCCTTTGCCGATCATCTTCTGCAGGTGTTCCTTGAGGAGGCACCGACAAGGGATAGTTGGGTTTAGGGTTTAGGGTTGGTTTAGGGCTGATTGAAACCCCAAATCCTCAACCCTAATCCCTCAAACGTTGATGTCTTGAGGGTCTTTGGGCTGCTAGGGCTGCTGGAATTCACAGGCTGGGGTTGACGCCGAGGTTTAAAATTCATTATGTTTCTGGCTCCAGGGCTTTGAAGGCTGTAGGACCTTCCCCCTACATCCTCGAGCCCTTGGAATAGGCACATGGGTTAGGGGTCGGCATTGGGGTCAGAGAATCAGATCGGAGTAATTAGTAGTAATAGTATTGCCTTTTCGGCCTTGCATAACTTTAAGATATAGTCAGGAAAAGTTACCCACCCTACTATAATTCTCCTGAGCACAGTTTGTTCATTGCAGTCTGGTCCCTCAGCATGTTTCACGTTGAGTGTTGAACCCGGTTCTGCCTGAAACTCTAAACTCCTAAACAGCATACATCTGAGCCAGGCCAAGTCATGGCACAAGTCAAAGCGTGGCGCCCAGAACAAACTGCTTAGGATCCGGAGGGCCAAGTTGTCATGAGCTCTCGTGAGGCTTCAGTTTGCTTAGATGTTTCATTGGGAGTTCAGATACATGTTATATATTATAGTATGTATATTACAAACAGCTTCTTGGTGTTTGATGTTGGATGCAAGCTTTGAGCTTCAATACAGCTCGAAGAGCATGAGCTGGGAAGCGCCGGCGAATGCGTGTAGTACAGCCAGATCAAAACTCAGACAGGAACAGTATAGGCAGGATTCATACCAACAGGTTTTTCTCATAAGCAAGGTGATAGGAGACTCAGACCGTCGTGATATGCACTTCGCAGTGCTTCCCATGATTCTCATGTCCCAGTCGCTCGTCGGAGCCCTAAAAACCCAAAATCCGAAAATCCTCAGCCCTAAACCCTGAACCATAAAACCCAAAATCCGAAAACCCTAAGCCTCACAGCTCTGCAAGACTTCGATCTTAAACCTTCCTGAGAGCGAGATCGCCGCTCGTCAAAAGGGCTCCGAACAAAACAACCGTGTCCGGGGCCTGTGGGTATTCGCTCTACCTGACGATTGATGGCTTTTGCGCAATGTCTGCGGCTGGTACCCTAAACCCTAAACTCTAAACCCTAAACCCTGGTCCATGAGTCGGCTCTGTAGTTGTGCTAAGAGCCGCAGCCAAGTATGTAAAGTGCAAGCAACCCTGCCAGCCTGGAGCGCTATATAAACCTAGGGTTTAGGGTTTAGGTGATAGGGTGTAGGTTTTAGGCTTGAGGTTTTAGGGTTTAGGGTTTAGGGGTTTAGGGTTTAGGGTTGCCAAAAGCGCCTAACACCCAAAGCCAAACCAACAGAGCTTTCGTGGCTGTTTTTGTTGCCCTGGTCCAGTCTTACACTTGCTTGGAGCTTCGTGGCTGCGCGGGTGACCTTCAGCCGTGTTGGGCACTAATTATCTCTGCAAGGGTTACAATAGTTGTTAAATTAGCATTCTTCTTATTGTTACTATTATTGCCATTGTTATTACTATTATTATTACAATTGTTATTACTATTATTATTACTATCATTATTACTATCATTATTACTATTATTATTACTATTATTATTACTACTATTACTATTACTACTATCATTATTACAAGTATTATTATTACTACTATTATTACTATTATTATTACTATTATTATGATTATGTTACATTTCTAGAAGGGGTGTGGGTTTAGGGAAGCCGACAGACGAGGCGCTGGCTGTACGAACGCGAGATTGCTCCTTGGCACAGCAAAGAGGCAGATGGCGAGATTTGAGGGTCTTAAACTTCGACTGGGACAAGGGAACACAACTCTCCTGACTTCCGGAACTCTAGCAGACTAGTTTTGACAGATCTGTCGGGGTTTAGGGTTTAGGGTCCGGAGGCAACCAACTGAATCGGCACTCACCTTCAGAACATACGAACCTTCTCGAAAATGGGGGGTCCCTTCTTAGGTCCCCAAAATAGTACGCAACCCTTATTACAAAGCACCCTAAACGGGCGTCATTTAGAGAACTACCCACATACAGCTCTGGTTCTTGGACCCAGCGTCTCCCTGAGCCGTTAAACCGAACCCTTCACCTTCACTCACAACTGCTGTATTTATTCATGCCACTACTGCCATTTCTAAAACTGCCGGTTGAGCAGACATCCAGGACGTCAAGCTGTTAACCCTGAACAGTCGAAGCCCCACCCTACATCCGAAATCCTCATGCATTCATGCGGTGCCCAGTTTGCCAATCCCTGAGGAGAGTCATCGCGTCGAGTCCGGTTTCCGCAGCCCGGCTTACACCAAGGGCCTGAGCAAGCGAAGCCCACATCGCGAGAAACTGACTATGTGCCAGGGGTCGACATTATTGCGGCGAGAAGAATTAGAACAGGGGCTTTGGGATATATGATCGTATACCCCTAAACCCTAAACCCCAAGACTATGTAACAAAAGAAGACCCTCAGGACCGGCATGTGTTGATTCAGGCTATTACCTAGACCCTTAAATGAAGTACCTTTTTGGGGGTCACCTTAGTTTCTGAATACGGGATCCTAACCATAAAATACGTGTAAGGGTCTGGGTACATTGCATCTTGCCGACTTAGCCCCTTTGATCTGGGACCCTCTCGCCTCCAAGTAAGACGCCTTCAGCCCTCGTTCCCTCCATTCCAGGCTAAAGGGTCCTTTCTCTGGCACGAGGCATAGAAGCAGGATAGTGCATGCCGCAAATCACCTGCAAGCGACATTATAACCTGCTGTGACCCAGAGACTCCAAAACCCCCTTGATTAAGGAATATGCCTTCAATTAAAATCTGACTCCCCTTGTATATTTAAGGTATAGTCCTTAAATTAAATAATCAGAGTCCCCCTATAGTATACGGTATAGTCCTTAAAGAGGGGGGTTTGGGAGTCTCTGGGGAAGTCTTAGTTCAAAGACCCTGAAGCCGAGAAGCCTCGAGGCTTCAACGACTTTGGCAGCGCCGTCAGCAGCAACTGGCCATGCACATTGGGGTTTAGGGTTTTAGGGCTTTACGGGTATAGGGCTTTAAGGGTGAAGGGTTTAGGGCTTTAGGGGTTTAGGGTTTTAGGGCTTTGGGGGTTTAGGGGTTTAGGGGTTTAGGCAGTATAGCATTTTTGTTGAGGTGGGGCGGGGCGGGGGGGGGGGGTTAGGGATTAGGGGTTCGGGGTTCTGGGGAGCCCTTAAGCCTAACTTTACATGGCCCTTCCTGCGGCTGCAATGTCCACCGGAAGCTCCCAAGCTTGAAAAGAAGACTGACAGCTGCTACAATCCACTGGGGCTCCACATGTCTAGTTCTCTAAATTAGGGTTTAGGGTTTAGGGTTTAGGTGGGTAGTTCTCTAAATTAGGTCCCTTGTAGGGTCCTTGTTATATGGGTGCCGTACTATAGTTGGGACTTAAAAAGGGGCCCTAATGTAGAGAGCTACCCACAGAGCCCAAAGTAGGTACTCCTTTTGGACATCAGACCCCAAAGTATGTACTACGGTTGATGATATACATCCTGCGTTGCCCCTAATTAAGAAGGAATATACCATAATTCCCATAGTTTAGGGTCCTTAACGTAATGCAGGATTTCTA